CGTTTGACTCCAGTACTCTTTCGTGCCATGGCAGGAGGTCGGACTTGATGATCTGCTCAGGTCCCTTCCGACCCTACCGACTATGAAACAATGAAATTATACAGGCTGAAACTATAGTGAATTAAAAGCAACAGGAATGAATGCGGCGCAGTTTGTTCACTCCGTGACATACAGTAATTGTTAGTGACTGTTTAGTTCCCCCTTGGGGAAGTCTGCCGAATCTTTCATCCATCATCTACTAGAGAAAGAGCTCTGGAATTACCTGCTCTACAGCACATACAGCCAACTTCCTCCTTTCTTTTGCACAGGTGATCAGGAGGAAAAGGTAAAATGAGTTAGTACAAAGGATGGGAAACCCAGCAAGTACATGTTATTTAGTCTCAGTCTTCAACTTCTTTCAGGTTGCCCTATCATGTATAGAGGCATTATGGTGTGAAGTTTCCATTAACGATGCCAGGGACTGAGTGGCATGGAACTGGCACATATACCTTGCATACAGACAGACATAACTTGACCAGGCAATATGGAGGAACCTTGCTCTATTGCTGCGGTTACTGGAATCATTCTATGGCTAGCCAAAAATCCTGATCAAAGTCTGTCAATCAATGCCAATCATTGCAACTAAAATTAAAAATGCATATCTCCATTGCCAGGTGCATAAATCCTTATGAAATACCAAAATAATCTCTACTTTTTGAGGGTACTCCCTGTAAGAAGAAGAAAGGTTGGAATACTTTGGAGATGGCTAAGCTCATACACAGCAATTTGATTGTGTTAGAACCTCCCTTGTGAGGCACTAGACGGAGGTGACAGTGTTTAGAGAAATGAACTGTGATTATTTTGTAACCATGTGAGCCATTGCACTGCTGCTACCCACTGATCAATGACAGCATGTCTTATTTCTCGCAGGGCTTCCAACACAGCTGAGAAGGGGACCTTAAGGAATGTCACACAGTAGGTGCTGAGACAACTTGCACTGAAACAAATAAAAAAAATGGCAGTCCCGATTTGAAACGAATTAAACACGCAGACTCTCACTAATCCTAAACCATGTCAAAAAAAAGTCGTAGCAAAGGCGAAAAGCCTGAGGCACTGCTTGTCGCCCTGCAGGCTGCCAATGAAGAACTCAGGACCAAGTTAACGGACATTCAAATTGAGCTACATCAAGAGAAGTCTAAGGTGAGTGAAGAGTCCATATCAAGGGACAGTCTCTCTATGGTAGTACAGCATGTAGAAAAACTGCATTGTGGAAAACCAGTGAATGAAATGCATTTTTTCCTCCAGAACTGAGGCCTCCCTCTGCCCCCACCTTCCATTTTTCCACGTAGGTAATGCCACTGACTTCAGTGGAGCTATTCTCAATTGACTTATTTAACAAAGTTAATGAAGCATCATGCCCATGAAGAAGAGATTTGCTGGCTTTAACAATATCCTGGCCATATACCAGCTGGTTTTATAAGTTCTCTAACTACAATACCCTTTTTCTATCTGTAACTAATGTGCAGTGTTGTTATGCATTCTTGAAGGACTGACTGCGTCCATCCATACCAAAGACGGTTGCACTTCTGTAACGAGTGAAGCCCTCCATAAATATATAGTGTGAAATTCTATACTGTGCTTTTGGGGGGGAAGTCTGCATGGTTGTCCATGATGTGACTGCATCCAGTGTAGACCTTTAGGCTAGCTAGCTCAGGCACTGATAGCTGTGTAGCCACAATGCCACAGAGTTCACTGTGGGCAAATTGCCACGTGTATTTAAGTACCTGAGTTGTCCTCTCTGCTGCTGGTGCTGCTGCTTTTGCTCCATTGTTGTTGGTGCCTAAACTAGGTGGTCTAAAACTACCTTGATATGCCAGTGGCATGGGCTTTGACCCCACTCAAAGGCATTCTTATCCCAAATCCCCAGCACCAACCCAACCTCTCTGTTATACTGAGGTGTGCACACAGTGAATTGTTTCCCCTTTCATCCCCACCCCACCATTTTATGGCATTTTTCCTGTTTGTTGAGAGGTGCTTCAATTAGACAGTGCATTGTATCTGTGTTTGGGAGTGACCAATGTTCATGCAGATAACATTCAGAGCACTGCTTTCATACCATAAAGCAGTTGTATGAACAGAGCTAAGTGCTCCTTGGACACTGGATAAGCACAATCTCTCTTTAATTTTTACAATGTGCTCTTCATGAGCAGCAGATAAAATAGATGCTCCATCTTATAGCTAGTGTTGACTTCCTGTCACCCAGTCACACAGGTAGGGACAGTTCTCCCCACATCCCAGCTCCCTGGGTCTGCAATCCAGCCACCAAAATCATTTCAAAAGGTGTTTCAATCATGTCTTGATGGGTTTGCCCACCTCTTCTCCCCCCCAATTAAAGAAACTGATTTTCATGGAACCTGGAGCCCTTGTCTGCCTGAGGCCATGCTTGTTTGTGAAGTAGCCAAACAGTCAATTGTAATTGAAACCTATGAACCCGACTCTTTGGCTACTTCACAAATAAGCATGGCCTCAGGCAGACAAACCTAGGCTGAGCTGTTTCTAGCTGCCACCGTTGAACAACACCAAGGGCTCCAGGTTCCATGAGGCCATTTATTGTGAAAGCCTTTCTCGTCCATATATCAGGGTTAATGGGAATCTTTGACCATCAGCTGATTCCATGAATATCAGTTTCTTTAATTGGGGGGGGATGAAAGAAAGAATTGACATTTCTGTGCTGTCTTATGAGCTGATAATCTCTTGGGGGTTTCTCCCCTCACTTTTCAAAGAGCTGTATAGCCATTGATTTGCAAACTGTGAGGGAACTGACACGTTCTCTTGAATTCATTCTGCATCCCGTGCTTCTACAGCAGGCTGATCTCAGATCCTGGACAGGCAAAGTAGTTTTTCAGGCATTGGCATGGATGTTTTGCACATGGGCAGAAACTGTCTACTCTGTAGAAAAAGTAGGCTAGCTGCCAGAAACTTGATGGAGAAAAGAGCTGCTTGCTGATGCTCTATTTCTACTGTGGCTGTATACTTTTAGTACCCTGAGGTTCATTGCTATTTGTCACTTTAGAGGTGACAAAAAAACGGAACTTACACAGGTAAGCAAGACTTGTTAAAGACTTCTGAACATGTGAAGCTGTTTACAAAACATCAGTCCCTAGGAGGGAGATCAGTAGAATATGAACAAACCGAAGAGATTAATTCACATTCAGTAGCTCCCACCAGACATTGAGCATCTCCTGAAAGGTGCTGAATGCCTTGCATTCCCAATGACATGCATGCAATGTAGAGTGCTCACAGTATTAGACCCAAAGAGTTACAGTGGAGTTCAAGATTGGCCTACAACAGGGTCATGGGCCAAATGGAGACCAACCCCTTCTGGAGTGCCCGTGGTGCTGGTTCCAACCTGTGCACCGCACACATGAGCCGCATGCACTGCACACATGGCTTGCTGTTGCATGGTCCCTGAGGTCAGTAAAGGGTGCGTGCTGCCCATGGCATGCAGGCTGGACCCAGTGGTGCACATGGCACAGAGGGTCTGGGGCACAGTCTGCATGCGGCACCCCAAACCTGTGCTGCCTGCATGCAGGACTGGGGCCAGCAAATGGGATCAAGCCAGCCATCTATAGCATACAACTCCACAGGCCAGTTGCAACCCACAGGCCAACTGTTTGACATCTCTGGTGTACAGCACATGAAGAGCGATCTCAAGTTTGAATGAACACAGATTTGAAGTGCATTTTGATCAAAGCTTTTGATTGGGCCCATGTTATGAAAGTACCCAACTCCCAAATTCGTTCTGGATGTGGTTCAGGTCTTATATCCCCCAGAGTTTTAACTTAGCTCAGACTGAGAGTTTTGGTTCAAATTGAACATCCTGTGGCTGACCAATCATTTGAGATGCCTGGGAGAGTGCGAAGGGACTGTTCCTCCTCCTCCCACCAAAAAGCTTGGGTAAAAATTTCTGATGCGCCTCCCTGTCACAGCTTCACCTTTTCATGGGTGTAACGAGAAGCAAGCACATAGAAGAGTAAAAACCTGAGCCGTTGAACAATGGGACCTTTTTCTGCATAACTTTGTTTCACCAATTTGAACTGAAATTTCTTCCTGCAGAGCACCTTGCTTCACCCTCCCCCATGCACTAAAGGGCACGTCAGCATTGCAGTCAAGTGTGACTGCAGCGCCTGTAGACACACCTGAGTGAACTCTAAACTAGAGCACTTGGGTATTGATAACAGGGTAGCCATGGCAACACAGCTCTGTGTGGGCTATCTGTACCAGAGCTAGCTAGTTGAAAAGTATCTCAAGGCAGGCTGAACATCATGTAGGAGTCGAAGCCTGACTGCCATGTAAATACACTCTAAGCAGGACTAAGTGGGTGTCATTTTGTAGCCCATCAAAACTTCTCTTTGATCAATGAGATAAAGCATGCTGATGTGAGAGGTAAGATATCCTACTCATTTTCCCTAGTCAAGGAGAGGTGCAAAGGGCATGAAACAAGGGGGCAGGGGAAAGGAGGTTAAAGAGACCCCAGACCTGCACGTCTGGATGATTACAACTAGGCACCTTAAGTAAAACTGGCCTTAGTTTCAGTGGTAGTAATTGTAATTAGGGTGTGACATACAGAAGTGATGACAGACACTGACTTTTATTCCCTAGCCCTACTTACCTGTCTGTATTAGAGAGCAGTCAGTCATGTCCTGCTTTCTGCCTGTCAGTGGAATAGTGCTACAATAGGGTTATTCCTTTTGTATAGAGTGACAGCAGCTAGATGTTGCTACTGCAACAGTGATCTCTAGGGCAAGCTGAGTGCCGAGTGCCTCTGGAATCGGCCTGCTTTTATTTCGGCATATACATACTGGGGTGAGTACCTATCTTAGCACACAGGTGTTAAAATTTCTGCGTGGGTTCTTGAACAGCAAAAACTTTAACACTGATGTTTTAGGGAGGTAGCTGGTTTTTTTCTCAAGGAGACTTTGAAGAAAGACACTGCTTTATTTTCAGGGGTTGACTAATACTTCCAGGATGACATTGGGGACCTGAAGCCAAAGTAAAATCACACTATTAGGACTTTATTTCTCAGTTGGAGATTTCTTTGGTTAGTATATATCTGAGACCACTTGGGGACAGAAGACAAAGACAGTACATCTTGCGTATAGCTTTCCCTATCTTTGGCAAATCTCATTCTTCTAATCAATTATGACCACAAGCAGGCACCACTGGTGTCTCTTGGAGAGCTTTCAACTGATCTAGTCTTTTATTTATTATTATTGATTTTTTTTTCTTTCTCACTTTAAAAGGTTTGCACACTCTGATTCTTTATAGTATTTATTTTAAAGAGAAATTGTCATGGGAGTTTTAATCTTTCAACTCCTTCTTTTTCCTTTTCATAAACCTTAGAACACACCCACTGAGTTTGCAGCAACATGAAATCTCTTTTTTTCCTTATCAAATCATTTTCCTCCATTGTACATTCACGAGTTTGCTATTGTGTTTGCTCCTGAGGTCTGTGTTTGGTTTCTGAAGTGTATTGGGTTACCTCATTATTGCAGGGTTGTCCTTTAGGTATGGACAAGGGATGTAAGTAGTTGGGGGGTTTTTTCAAAGAAAAGCAATGAGGCATTCATCTTAAGGGAAAAAAATGTATGGGGACAAATAATAAAGACTTTACTCCATCAAATGTCCTAATGGAACCAATAAGATTTTTGCCAGAGTAAGAAGAGGTAGTTGCTGGGAGAATGCCTCTAAACATGCCTGTATTTTTGTCACACTGGGGGTGGAGGAAGATTGGGGCATCTTGAATGTGTTTTGTCCCTTGGGTGTAGGACTTTATAGGCATCCTGGGTAGACATGCTTGTGTATCGTCTCGCTTGTGGCTGTTGACTTTCTTTTCTTCTCAACACGTAGGTTGCTAAACTTGAGAGGGAGAAGACTCAAGAAACCAAACGGATCCGAGAACTGGAGCAACGCAAGCAGACTGTACAAATCACTGAACTCAAGGCGAAACTCCACGAGGAGAAGATGAAGGAGCTGCAGGCAGTGCGGGAGAACCTAATCAAACAGCATGAGCAAGAGATGACCCGGATGGTCAAAGTCAGAGACAGTGAAATCCAGCGCCTCAAGTCAGCACTGTGCGCGTTGCGGGACGGGAGTAGTGACAAAGTAAGGACAGCGCTGACCATTGAGGCTCGTGAAGAGGCCAGGAAACAGTTTGACTCTGAGCGCCTTAAGCTTTTGCAGGAAATTACTGAACTAAAATCTGCCAAAAAGCAGGTGGATGAGGCCCTTAATAACATGATCCAGGCAGACAAGATCAAAGCGGGTGATCTTCGGAGCGAGCATCAATCCCACCAGGAAGCCATCTCTAAGATCAAATGGGAGAGTGAGCGGGATATCCGCAGACTGGTTAGTAGCTCCCACCATATACCACAGAGCTTGTGTCACTTTTCCTAGCCTTTGCCTCTTGTCATGGTACTTAGATCCACACAGCTCAAAATAGTTTAAAAAACAAATGATAAATGTCTAGTTATCACCCCTCCCAGGAAATAAGTCTTCAGCAGTAGGTGGCAACTGTTCAAGATTAAATAAATGGCCTTAACATGGGCCTTAAGTAAATGAGCTAATGCTCTGTTTTGCAGTGAACTGAGTAGTTGTTATACATCTACTGCTGTCTCTTTTGCTATTATTCCTCAACGAATGTGTGTTAAAAGAACCTCTGTAAGCATCATGGAGCCGAAACATGTGTTGTACGGAAGAAGCACTGAAACTATTGGCAAACTTTTGTGGCATTCAGGGAACACTTTCATTCCCCCCAAAAAGAAAAAAAAAAGCCAGAAAAGTCAAAACAATTCCCTTACATTTTTTTAAACTACATGCTTTTGGTGAGGAAAGCCCATGACCTGATGTTTAGAGACTTTGCTGGGAAGTTGGAAATGCAAGTTCATACCCACCTCTGGGTTGCCTAAACCCCTGCTCTAGAATCCTAACCTAGCTATAGTGCTAAAAGGTGTGGGGAGGGGGGACTTCTTTTCTGGCATCAAGTACTTACAGTCTTCCTCCAGCTCCATAATAGAACTGTGCAAGTTAGTGACATTCAACTCTGTATCACCCTATGTATATTCTGTGACTGATCTGGGATGTGAAACAATTTTTGAAAGTTATAAGGAAAAGAAATTTGTTTCCAGAATATTTATTTGCGTATGTGCATTGCACTAGGCCAGGCTTTGATTTCATGTACTCCAGTAAAATCTCAGTGGAAAAACTATATCGCCCTGGTGTCAAGAGGGTTGCAGTAGATTGACACCTGGGTAAATGAAATCCAGATCTGGCCCATTAATTTGAAAATATAATTCTAAAGGCATTTTAGTATGCTAAAAAGGTTACAGGTTCAGTAAAGTGTCTTTGATGGCTGTAGACACAATTCAGCACAGATAGTATTTTTGCTTTTGGGAAATGACTCATGCAACTTTCACAGATTGCAGTGCACTTTTTCTGAGAATTTTGCAAATTCTGGTTCACTGAACATCCTTAGGCTCAATGGCATTAGCTGCCTTCTGCTAATCTCTGTATTCTTTAGGGCTTGTGTGCAGTGATCTTATTCCAAAATTGAGTTAACCCTTCCTTTTCTGGTTGTCAAGCATCGTGCATCAAGATTCCAGTGAAGGAAATGAAGTGTGAGGTGCTTTATTGTGGGCTAGATGAATCTGAAACATTACACAGCAATGGAGCAATTGATATCCAAAGAAACAAGAATTATTAGAATGACCCTTCCAATACAGAGTCAGCCCCTAGACTGTAAGTTTGGCAGATTGGGTGCTGAGCCCCAGCTGATGTAAATCAGTGTCTGTATCGATTAAACAGGGCCATATCTTCAACTGATGTAAATCAATATAACTCCATTTACACTACCAGGGATTGAGCCTACATATCTTCATTTGGCCATGCTATTTTGTACTGTAAATGACTACATGAGGTGCTAGGTGATAAACTGTAACTTTGGCTTTGATTTTTCACAGATCTTAATCCTCTGCAGTTCTTGAGCATGTCAGTAGGGGCTACAGAAGTGGAACACCATTGAAAAGAGCTTGTGTATAGATTCAGTGATGCCCTTTGCTAATTAACAAGCCACAGGCAATAATGATTCATATTTTGTATTGATTATAGTAAAACCTTGATCAAGTTCATTATCTAGGAATCTGGTGTGATACTCAACAGCAGATACAATAGTAAACGACAACATTGAAGTGATCTGAGGTACTCTTGCAATGCTGACATGCTGTTGGATTTGTGTGTTGATATTGTTCTGGTATTTCTTAATTTAGATGGATGAGATCAAAGCTAAAGACAGAATAATCTTTTCCTTGGAGAAAGAACTGGAGACTCAGACGGGCTATGTACAGAAGCTTCAGCTGCAGAAAGAAGCTTTGGATGAACAGCTCTTCTTAGTGAAGGAGGCAGAATGTAACATGAGCAGTCCCAAGAGAGAGATCCCAGGGAGAGCAGGGGATGGCTCAGAGCACTGCAGCAGTCCTGTGAGCAGGTTTCCCTGTCCTCTGAAATATAGAAGCGTGGCTCTTTGGTTTGCATAATAATCTCGCCAGCCTTCTGCATCATTTTTCCTATTTGCTACAGAGAAGATAAGCTTCATTTTCTGAACCCTATGAAGTACCCTCTAGTGGAAATTCTTAGCTACGTCTGCCAAAGGCCCTTTGTAGATACCTTAGAAGCACATATGTTTTTGCAGATGTTTTCTTTCCTCTGAATAGCTGGCTCTTAGCTGGTCCAGTGGGTTCAAACCAAGGGCCAATTTCTGCCCTGCACTGCACGATGTGGTTATGAAACACTACAGGATGCGGTGAATATGGGACTCCCCCAAAGCAGAATAGCATATCATTTGCACCCATGTTACCCAGGAGTAAATGACCATACAAAATGTAAGTGGGGTCCAGAAATGAGATCCAAGCTGTTTTAACTTTTTCCCAGCATACAAGTCCCTTGTGATGGTCTCTGTAAATGGTACCAATACGGCCAAGGGGGTTCATTTCGCTACAAAATGATGATGTGGTCATATTTTATAGCATTTAACTTGACTTGTCCAATGTATCTTCCATGTGAACCAGTAACTAAATGATATTTTTCTCCATTCTCAGGATTTACGCAGAAACCAGAAGAGGATGGCAGAGCTGAATGCCACCATCCGGAAACTGGAGGACAGAAACACACTACTTGTAGATGAACGAAATGAACTGGTTTGTGATCTTGTCCTTGTCACACTGGGGAGGCAAGAAGTCGTAGGGAAAGGAAAGAAGGGTGATTTAGGCAGTCATGATTTATGCTGTGTCTACCCTTTACTCCTAAGGCTTAGAACTTCTCATATGAAAGGACAGGAAATGACACAGTTCTTGGGTGTGCTCAGCAACCTCAGGGCCCAGTCCAAAGCCCTTTGCAGTCGGTGGTAATTTTTCTATTGATGTCAGTAGGCTTTAGCTCAGGGCTTTAGTCTTTGTTTCACTACATCTGTTAACACACAACTGTTCCATGCATTATGAGGTGCTTCAGACCATGCTTCATAAAACATGGCATGGTGCAGCATTGTATTTAAACATAAGAGGTAACAAGGGCTAATTTTTGCTGCTAACTGAATCTCCAGCCCTTCCATCTCCCTCACCATGGGTAGCCCTGCCCCTTGACAGGTGCCCTGCCCCCGGCCGCTATCTTGGGGCAGGTGTCCTGCCCCCTAGCCTCTGACCCCTGACCATCAGAAGTCTTTCTGGGAGTGGGGGTTGCCTTCTTGGAACCGGAAAAAAGACAAATCATATAGTAAAAGTCAAAAATCTACTGTAACAGATTTTCATTTTATTTCAAAGAATATTTTTGTCCTGACTTACATGTGTTTGCTTAGTGTATATAGAGATGATTGCATAATAGGTCAAAAATAAGGTCTTACTCCTGTATATTGTGTGTGGAGAGTGTGTGGAGTGTGGGTGGGGGGTGGGCATATGTATATGCTGGGGTGTGGGGGGGTTGATGAGGGGATGTGGCTGTGTGTGGGGAGTCTAGAGTCTCTTGGGTGTGGGTATGTGTATATGTGGGGTAGTTGTGGGGGGTATGGGCATTTGGGGGTGTGAGGTAGGGTGGGGGTGTGGGGACCCTGCACATGCCCCCCTATGGTGCACAGCGCCTACTGCTGACAGCAGCGGCAGCAGCAGACTCATTGCCTGCTCACATGTTGCACAGTACCAGCCAGTTCTGGGAGTTGCACGTGGCATCCAGGAGCACAGCCAGGCTGCCCACCTCTGTCACTCCCTGCAGGTCATGTGCAGCTCCCACACCGCTGGGGGGAAACCCCGCATGATGAAGCCAGCAGCCTCACCTGGCTCCCTGCCACCACATGCAGCTCCTGTCCGGCAGAGTGCCAGGAGCAGTACGGGGCAGCAGAGCCAGGCTGCCAGTTTGATTACGCAGGGCTTCCCCTGGTGGTGTGGGAGTCCCAGGAGCTGCATGTGAGCCATGGGGAGCCCCATGAGATAGAGGCAGGCCGGTTTGGCTCTGCTCCTTCCACTACATGCAACTTCTGGAACTGGCTTGAACCGCGTGCTGCCAGGCAGCTGCACCTGCATGGGCCATAAGCAACCCTGAGGGTCCGCTGCCTGCTGCTTTCACCAGTGGTGGGGGATGTGCATCATGGGGGGAGGCATGGGGGGGTTCCCACACCCCCCCACTCTCCATCACACATGTGCATCCACACCCTTCCTACCTAAACTCCACACTCCCACCACCCCCTGGGTGCAGTCCTCAGTCTCCATGTTTCATACTCCCACCCAGCTGCAGCTTCCCTCTGCCTGCCGCTGTTTCCCTACCTGCTGCCCGGAGCAAGTGCTGTAGCACAGACATAAGGAGGAGCTGCTGGAGGCCGGGGAAGCCAAGCAACTCCCCTGGTAGCTGCAGCAGTAGCAGTAGTGGCCCCACCCAGAAGCTGTGCTTGCTGGCCAGGGCCAGAGCCAGGGCCCTCCCCGGCATGAGGGTGGGAGCAAAGTGCACTGGCTGGGTGAGGTATAATTAATTGGGGGGTGCTTGTGGGCCAGGTGAAATAGTTGGATTCAGCCCGTGGGCTGTATTTTGCCTGCCCCTGGTTTACAGGGTTCTTGGGAGGTATCATAGGAAATTTCATAGTAAAAATGTAGCCCAATCTGATATCAATTTCCTCTTAGTATAATGATGTGTGTTTTTATACTAGTCTGGTGCATATAAACTACCTACAATCCCTAAACCCCGCATAGACACTGTAACAATTAAATGCAGGGTTATGATTCTGATCTTACTCACAATGAGTTTAGACCAGTTAACCATTGACTTCAAGGTGGTTTTACTATCATGAGTTCACAATCAAAACTGGTTTGTAGGATTCTGGTTAAATGTTTCTATATTATCTGACTCAACCTTTTCTTATCAGATACTCCTAAGCACATAGCAGCTTCTGGTCAGATCTATTCTTGAAAAATCAAACAATGACAGTATTTCAGCATCTGGCATATCGACTATGCAGGCTGAGGACAGTATAAATATCAGATCTACAGAGAATGGATTACAGTAAATTCATTCCTTTGACAGATTTATTTTAGCATGGAATAGGTATACCTTGCCATGGACATCTGCACTTTTTTGACCATCAGCATTTCTGCAATTCTGGTTAAAGATTAAGGTTTTGAAATGCAGAGCAGTTCCATTGTATTCAGTGTGAGGACAGGAATCATAATTGACTCAGTTGGCTTCAGTGTAGATATCTCATTCACATCAGTGGTATTAATTAACTAAAGCTTGTAAAATCATGGCTTATCACAATTGTAATACAGCAAAATGCATTAACGTGTATTGCTTACATTAGTTACATCTCTCAAAAACCGAGTTCGTACAGCATTTAGCAAATAATAGCCTGAATATTCAGTCTAATTGATTATAATTTGATGCATACTTTTAAATAGCCAAAGTCTTTTTTTCTTTAATGAGAAAATGTCATTTCTTAGAAGAAAGACTGTAAACATTTCTTAGAGAGTTTAATTGTAATGAGCACATTTATTAAATAATATATTATGATCCAGGGTACTGCTACAGGCAAAGCACAACTTCATGTGTAATTATGTGTCTTCCTTCCCATTAAAATACGGATTTTTTTAATAGTGTTGTTCAGAGAACCTCATCTTCTAAGGAAAGGGGAATTTCATGTGTAGAGGAAC